CTCAGTACTAGAAGCAGCACAGGTGTCACTTTGACAACACAGAAGGAACTGCAGACTCCTGGGGCATTTTCTCTGGCCTACATGGAGAAGCAGGGCGGTGAGCTCCAGCCCTATCTCACTTCATGTGGTGCTTACTGTATGCCTGCATCATCCCAGGCTGGGCACGTGCTGGTGGGCAGAGGATGCCACTGTCTGCCCTCATGGAGTGTCTAATGCAGAGGGAGGGAGGTGACAATGCCAAGCAAACACCACCATGGGGGTGAGGGGTACAATGAGGATGGAGGAGCGGGGACAGGAAGGGGACGTTCAGGGAAGACCTGGGAGAACTTACACTGGAGGTGCAGGGCTGTGGTGAGAGAAGTCAGGGTGATCTGAGCAGGGAAAGCAAGAAGCAGTCAGGCCAGGGGCGAGACTGCACCTCTGAGCCCCAAAGGCCTAGTGACTGGACGTTACTTTATACCAGAGCTTTGGACACCCCAGGGAAGGTTTGAGCATGGCCCTGATGTGACCCAATGCATGTGTTAAGAGGACACTTTCGATGCTCCATGAAGAGCAGGCCATAGGGACAGGAGAAAGGCAGCAAGTGGGCTCCACCGAGGTGATAATGGGCTGTGCAGCAGAGAGAAGGGGCTGGGCTGGGGAGGCAGAATTATTAGGGCATGGTGAGAGATCAAACATGGGGGTCGGGGGACATCTACCATGAGCCTGGGCTGAAATGAGGGACAGAGGAGGGGAGGCAGGATCGGAGGGGGAGTATCTGGCGTTGGTGCTAGCATCGCTGACCAGACATCCAGGTGGGGAGACCAAGGGAGAACAGATCCAGGAGGCTGGAACTCAGGGGCATCTGAGCCTCCCCAGGGCAGCTGGGAAGCTCACCTGGCACACGAGATCCCTGAGTTGGGTCGCGGCTCCACCCGCCCAGTTCTGCACCTGAGTGTTGGTAAAACTGGGATGAAAAGAGTCCGCATCTTGGAAAAGGCTTCGTTAGAGCAGAGCCCAGGACACTGCACACTCTTGGAGAGTACATATTGTCATTTCACAAAGAAGTGAGCAGTCATGCTCGTTTAATTAGGGAGAGGAGGTACCAACAGGCAGGACCAGGTTTCAAAATCAAGTCCTAAGGTCTGCCCTGATTTACTTGGGTCAGGTTTCTTGCTGGGAAGGAACGGTGTCCTTCTGCATCCTTGGATGTGAGACTAATAACTGTGAAGCCCTCTCCCGGGCTCACTGGTTCTTCTGGGTACTGCCCGTCTCACTGCCCCTTTGAATTTAGTGCCCAGGCAGAAGGCACTTTCACAAAATCCTGTTAAAGAAATGAAGCCAGAGGAAGGATCGGATGAGCAGCTAAATCCAGCAGTTCCACCCTCAAGGAATTCACAGGGCCAGCAGCTTGAGTTCGGAAGCCAGAACACCCAGGCTCAAATCCTGACCTCACTCCCCACAGGGCTGGCAGTGGGTCTGTTGACCTTAGCACCAAGAGCCGTTTTTTTGTTGTGAGACCGTCCTGTGTACTGTGGGATGTTGAGCAGCTTCCCTGGTCTCTCCCCACTCGCATCCCACTCCCAGTTGTAACAGCCAAAGATGTCTTCTGATACTGTCAAATGTCCCCAGGGGGGCAAAAATTACCCCTAGCTGAGAACCACTGGGCTAGATGCTCAACATCCTACACCCCGGTTTCTCCATTTATAAAAACAGGGCCATAAGAGCCACCCTGAGAATCAAATGAGAACATGCATGTAGAATCATCTAGAACAGTAACTAGCATGACAAAGCGCTCGATAAATATTAGCTCCAAGTCACTGTTACCCTAAGGGATATGGAAATACATGAATCATACCCAATATGACAGTAGATCAATAAAAGCATAAACAAGGCACCCAGGCGGCATCAAGGGAGGAAACCTACAGACCTGCTGAGGAGTTCAGGAAAGCTTCCAGAACCTTCTCAGAGCAGGGAATAGCCACTGATGTGAATTTTGAAGGAGGCACATGATTGGCAGATGGATGAGGAAGGAATGCATTTTAGAAAAAGAGATGGCAGATGCAGAAGGGGAAAGACAGGGAGAGCAGGGCTGTGTCTGGATTGACAGGGTCGGCTGGAGCCTGACCCACGTCCTTAAGGAATTTAACAAAAACTAAAACTACAATGTTTACAAAAGGAAAGACTGAGGGGCCAAGAACCGAGGAAAATAAGTCTGTGTTTGCCTTTCACAGTTGTTCAGGAAAATCTGCAGAGGGAGAATCTGGGAGGGCATCCCCCACACATCTACAAGGCCAGCATCTTAAGTCCTTCTGTCCCTGTTCTTTTCAGAATGGGATGGCTGCAGACCCCATCCCCGGTCCCAGCACAGAGCTCTCTTTGCACAGACACATGATAAGAGGGTGGCAGCCCCCTTCTCCCTGCAAATACCAGGGGAATCCATGTGCCCTGGGGCTTTGGACCTCTCTAAGGCCAAAATGGACTTCAGAGACATGGGAGAGCTGTCCACGTTTCCTCTGGCATCAGATTTGTTGAGCTTTTCCTGAAATTAATTGCCATCTTCCTTCACCCAGCTCCTGCTGGGTCTCTTGCCGCCTCCCGTCCTGCAACACAGGAAGCCAGGGGCTTCCAGTGCTGCTTGGCTTGGGCCGATTCCAACCTTGCAACCGCGAGGCCCCGGAGCTCGGAGCTCAGCTTACCAAGGAGCAAGTAATAAAACCCTCATGACGACAGCACTACTTTCATCATGAATAAATGAGCTCAATTACCTCCTTGCAGAAAAAGGAGAGCTTCAAAGGGAAAAAGGAAAACAGAGAGGAAGAGGGACCAGTAAGTCTTAATTAGTCTTATCTCTGAGGGAAATACATATGATAATTTTAGTACCCAAAGAAATTCAAATTAGTCTCATGCCAATCATTACGTTTTAGTGATTCTTATTGGTGATGAAAGAATTGGCCATTCCCCAGCCATTATTTTTCTAAAAATGACTCTCTTGATGAAAAGGAAACTTGAGAACTTTAGAAGTCAATTCTACCCAATGAGTCAATCATCTTTGGAGTGAATCTGCTGATCCTAATGGCCCCTAGTTTCCTATATCCTGGACTAGCAGCATGGAAGGCAGATGCCCAGTCTCCTTAAAGCTGTGGTAGATGCCCTAGGGCTTCTGACTCATGTGACAAAGCTTCCAGAGGTGAAAGAGGTTTGAGGCAACTCCTCCACCAATGAAAGGGCCAACTGCATGGATCAACGTGGTCATCCACCCAAACGGGCAGGGGTGAGGTCTGGCAGTGTGCACTGGTCTGGCATGCAGCAGACACTCAATAATGAAGACTGCACCCTTGCTGATTCCTTGGAGTCCATGAGGCCCTTTCCCAGGGATCCACAGCCACGGCTTCCCCATCTAAGCAGAAGAGTTGGCTGAAGCGCTCCCCACCCAGACCACATGGCAGGGTGGAGTGTGGGAGTATGGGGGATGCGGCTCACCCACGGGTGCTTCCCAGTCAGGAGGGGGTGCTGCAGACATCTGGTATCTCTGATCAGGCACTTCAGAAGAGGCAAAGATACCAGCACAAGGCCGTGGGGTGGGAAAGGGACAAAGGGGGAACTTGTAAAGCTGATATGGAACAGCCATCCATTAAAACTCAGCAGGAGAAAGAAGCCTGGTCCAGGCCTCCTCGTCACAGCAGTTGACTTAGGTGTGGGCTGTCAGGGGCGGGGGTCTCTTGCCACCTCTGCCTGCCTTCCTTGTGCACTGCCAATTCCAAGTGTAGCCAGGGACTTGGAATTACACTCAGTGAGACAGCAGAGATGAGAGCTCTGAACCCAAACGGGAACATCTGACCAACGGACACCCATGGACGGGTAGGGTCGGGGGTATGTGTGTAAACAACATGGGACAGTTGATCAAAACACCCTTCTCCCACCCCACTATATTACCAGATTATAAGCCAGGAGCCACCCCATCTCATCAGACTGCCAACACCCGCTCTGGTGGCTTTACCCTCCTCCTCTGATGCAGAGAACCTTGGGCAGCCAGCCTTCCTCTCTCTTTGTGCTCTTCCTGCTTGATAAATGCCGGCTAATACCTCAAACCCTTGTTATAAGCTCGATAAACTTGTGCTATGTGCTACATAAAACTCTCACATGAGCAGCTAACGATTTCTCAGGTTGTTTATATTAAACACATTAATTGAGGACACAGTCGGTGGAAGAATCTCAAAGTTATCTCCGGTATGAATCAAATCCAGCCTAATCCCCAGATAGCTTTCACAAAAAAAGACAGACTATTCACCATCAGGAACACCATAAACTTATTTTTCAAATGGACCATCATTTTATGTAACAGGCGATCAAAGACCAAAGTAAGATTTGGGACTGAGATGCAGAGAATGCGTGTTTTTGTGCCTCTCTTGGGCTGGCTTCTTAGTTTTTAAAAACAACTGTTGGCTACAGTTGGAGCCATTTATCTTTGTGATTAGTCAGGATGTCTCAAGGTAAGTATATCTTCAGAGGCGGGAAGATGAGTCATTTTCTACAGTGACAATGAGGCATGAAGAAACGAACAGCGTCTTTCAAGACCCACATGACAAATGGTTCAATTCTACCCAGGCTCCATTGCTTTACAATAACCAATTAAACTTGAAATCTGGAATAACGTACATTAAAGCCACTTAAAAGCAACATGTGTTGTTTTGTGCACTTAGGTGGTTTTTCTTTTTTAAATTGGATTTCACCCTGTAACCTTGCCGAACTGTTCTCATAAAGAAGGAGGTTAGGTCGGGCAGGATAGATGAATGAGGCCTCAGGCTACTCTCAGAAAGCAGTACTTCCCAAGTACCCACTGGCTAAGAAAGTGCCATTTCTAACATCATCTCAAGGTTCCTGGAGCTGACACCTGGGCACAGCACCCATTCTCTGTTTCCCTAGGAGGGAAGTGGTCAGAGACCCTCTACTATGTGGCCTGGGGTCGTTTGTGTAAAGTCAAGGTGAGCCCAGCTACCCCGCAGGCTTCAAGCACCTACCGGTAAAGTCCTCAAAGCACTCGCAGGTGTAGCCTCCCTCACGGCTTCGGCAGCGGCCATTGGTGCCACAGGGGCTGGAATAGCAGAGGTCGATCTCGGTCTCACAGTAGTCGCCGGTGAAGCCGGGAGGGCACCGGCAGCGCAGGCCGTTGATGGGGTGGATGGGCCGGAAAAGCACCGTGGTGGAGCTGAGGAAAGGTGCCGAGCTGTCGAAGCGCAGCACGGAGACGCACTTCATGTAGTTCTCGCAGGGCTCACGCAAGCAGATGTTGTCGTCGAAGGGCAGCACGCGCTGCGTAGAGATGGTGGTCAGCAGCGTCCGGTTCAGGTAGATCTGCTCCTGCAGGTCCTCTGATGGGAAGAACTGGCCGCGGACGCCTCCGGGGAGCAGCGCCGAGAAGGTCACATTCAGGATGTTGGAGCTGACATCCGTGTCGTTCTGGATGTTGAAGACAAAAACGTCGTCCTTGGTGGTGGACAGCACCGTGGCCACTCCCTCCACGAAGAGGGACAGCAGTGGGGACAAGAACTTCTCCTGGGACATGTTCTCCAGGCGAACGGTGATGCTGTTAGTTAGCATGTCATCTGTGATGATGGTGACCCGCAAGGTGCAGAGGGCTGTGACGCTGTGGATGCCATCTGCAGGGTACAAGAGGAATCGGGTTACTCGGATGTCACGGAAGTCACAGCTCCTAATGCCCCCGTGCCAGGAACAGCCTTGGATGCCCTTAGCAAAGGGGAAGCCAGCCTGGGCCACTCCCCATTCCCTACCCACCCACAACTACCACCTTGACCCCTGCTTCCTTCCCCAGCCTTGGTCCTCTCCCTCCCACTAACACCCACTCTGAACTTTCTCAATAACAGCTTCTACCATGTCTCTCTCTAACTCAGAAGCCTCAGTGGGCCCTAAACCACCCAGCAGGGCACCCCGACAACCACCAGGATTGGGCCCCTCACTGCTTGAGACTCCCCCCACCTCATACACTTGGCTCCAGACAGGTGGGCCCTTGCAGCCCTGTTTTAAACCATTCCAGGCTCCAGGGATCCCACCCCATCATCCCCTCCGCCCATCACAACTCTTGTCCTCCCAGCCCAGCTCAAATCCCCTGGCATCCAGCAAGTCAGCCCTGATCCTTCCCAGGAGACGGCCCCACCCAGATGTGCTAGGTTTAGGGTTTGATTTCTTGCAGCTGCCGGGCCCTGCCTTACACGCAGAGTGGGACATGGAGAATAATCTGCCAAATTCTCAGTCCCCAGGCGTGGCTTAGATTGTGTTCCCTGAGCTCCATGGATCCTCTTCCCCACAAACAGGCCCCCTGCCTGTGTCCCCTCCAAAAAAGCACCCCCTGGTTTCCATGGGGCATGGGACCCTCTCTCACCCCTCAGAGCCTGAGGTGTTGGTGGGTGCCCCAGCCAAGAGGACAGCCGAGCAGGGAAATAGAGAGAGCCAGCCTCTCCTCCCACTTGTTTCTGGGGAGCTGTGAGTCTTGGACCTTCAGAGGATGCTGTCAGGTGACGACACCCAGAGGCCACCTCATCACTCCAACTCCAGCAAAGTCCCCGTCAAGGCACAACAGCATGCAGGGAGCCCTGAAAAGAACAAGGGATGAGGGCGGCAGAAACCTCTATATTCTGAGGCTGTGCTTTTCCCAGGCTCACACTTACAACTTGTCCAAACAATGAAGAAAAACAACTACTCCAGAAGTCACAGCTGCACTCAGGGGTTTGGTTTGATTAATAATGCAGCAACATTGAGATTCCAAGAGATTCTGACAGAACCAGCATCATCCCCAATGGACAGGTGAGGGAAACTGAGACACAGTGAAGTCAAATTTCACGCCCAAGAACTCAAACTCAGCTGGGGGCAAGCCCAGCTTCCACCCCGATAACAACACCTGTCACTTGGTAAGTCCAAGTCAGGCACTGTGCGTTATTTCTATCCCACTGAGTCCTCATGAAACCCAGCAAGCCTGGACTTAGAAAATGAAAATAACATCTGCACCACCTCAGGGTGGGGAGGGTACCTCTGGCTCTGGCATAAAACCCAGAGGCCTTCAAGGACTCACAGTTCTGTCTGGAACTTCCACAGGGCACAAACGGAGTGGAGAGGCAGCAGCCCAGACAGCAAGTGCAGCTCAGAGAACAAAGGAGGTGGTGGCCACAAAAGAAATGGGGAAAAAATAAGGAAACGGGAGGGGGAAGGGATATTGTGGGAGACAGCCCCAAAGATGGTTGTGTGCGTTCCTTCCCTACCTGACCTGTAGGCCTTTTCCTCATCCAGAGTGGTCTTCATTTCCCTCCCCTGGAGCAGGACTGGACCTGAGATTGCTTTGTCCCACAGGATGTGACAGAAGAGACTTTCTTGACTTCCAGTCAAGGCCCCAAGAGGATTGGAAGGTTCTGCCTCCTTCCTCCTGGTGCTTTGATGCCACACTGGATAATTCATGTGGCGAGGAGAAGGTACCAGATCAAGAGCCCAGGCTAACTGAGGCTCCAGATGTGGCCCACCAGACCTGCTGAGGCTCGAGCCACCCAGGAAGGGCCCAGACACCATGGAGCAGAGGCTAGTCATCCAGTGACCCTGGCCACATTGTGAGCAGATAAGACAGTCAGAGTAGGAAGTCACTAGGTTTGGGGACGGTCTGTATAGCACTAGACAACTAAAGCAGATATAAACTGTCAACCCACAGAATCAATCACTCATAAACTGAACCTTACTGCCCCTTATATAAAATTCAAATATATTGCTAGGAACTGTGTTGTGTACCCTCAAAATTCATTTGGTAGAGCCCTAATCCCTAATGTCATGGTACATGGAAATGGGGCTTCTGGGAGGTGATTAGGGTTAGATGAGGTCAGGAGAGGGAGGCCCTCATGATGGGATTAGTGTCCTCATAAGAGGAGATCCCAGAGAGCTCTCCCTGCTCTCCACCATGTGAGGACACAGCACAAAAAGAGACCTCAGGGGAACCTGAGCAGGCTGGTACCCTGATCTTGGACTTCCAGTTTCTAGAACTATGAAAAACAAATGTCTGTTGCTTAAGCTGCCCAGTGTGTGGTATTTTGCTATGGTAGCCTGAGCCAACTGACATATATGATTGTGATTCAATTAAATTAAGTTTACATGCTAAACAACATGTTCAGTAATGCTAAAATAAGTTAACATGTTTGTCTTATGCAATGTTCATAAATATCTTTTATCTGCTATATTCCCTGCTTATATATTCCTTTGCCAAAAAATAAATTTTGGTTTTTGTTTTTTTTTTGGAATTGGAGTCTCACTCTGTCGCCCAGACTGGAGTGCAGTGGCCGCTCCCGGCCACCGCAGCCTCGACCTGCTGGGCTCCAGCGATCCTTCTGCCTCAGCCTTCCAAGTAGCTGGAATTACAGGCATGCGCTACCACACCTGGCTGATTTTTTGATTTATTGTAGAGATGAGGTCTCGCTGCCCAGGCGGGTCTCGAACCCGCGGGCTCAGGCAATCCACTCACCTCAGCCTCCCAAAGGCACGGGATTACAGGCTGAGCCACCGAGCCCGGCTCAAAAAATAAATTTTAAACATTCAGTGACCCTAAGTTTAAGCAATCATCCTTCTGGAAGCCTAAAGATACACACGCACACACACACCAAGAATGTAGAATCCCCCTAAACACCAAAAGGAAAATGGATAAACAAATTACAGCAGAGCCACACAATGGAATACTACACTGTCATTAAACTGTGTCTAAAATACATGCAAATCAATTAAGTATTAAAATAGAGTAAAAGTAATGCATATAGTGTGAGGGGGATGGCTTATTATGAATATAAATGTATATTTAGAGAAAATTCTGGAAGGACATAATGAACCCCACTGCAGTGGCTGACTCTAGAAAGAAGATCAAAGGATGGGGGTGACAGAGAGACAGCCATCTTTTTACTTTACTGCTCATTTTGAGTTACTAAGATTTCTTACAATGAGTATGTGTTATTTTGGTTTCTAAAAATGTAATACTTTTTTGTAAAAGAGAAAAGATGACCTAACTATACCCACATTCATAGCAGCATTATTCACAAGAGCTAAAATGTGAAAGTAACCCAAGTGTCCATGAACAGATGAATGAATAAACACAATGTGGTCTATCCACACAAGGGAATATGATTCAGACTTAAAAAGGAAGGAAGCGCTGACACATGCTATAACCTGGGTGAACCCCGAGGATATTATGCTAAGTGACATAAGCCAGTCACAAAAGGACAAACACTGTAGGATTCTTCTCACATGAGGTCCTTAAAGGAGTCAGATTCATAAACAGAAAGTAGAAAGTGGATTGCCAGGGGCTGAGGATAGCCAGGGGCTGAGGAGCTGGTATTTAATGGGGACAGAGTTTCAGTTTGGGAAGATGAAAAAGTTCTGGAGATGACGGTGGTGGCAGCTACATAACAATGTGCATGTGCTTAATAATACCTCTGAAGTGTGCACTTAGAAATGGCTAAGATGGTCAACTGTATGTTATGTATACAAGAGGGGGACTCAAAAAAACCAGGATTATTTTTTGGAGAGTGGGCCCCTTGTAGTACACGCTTCCCCCACTAGGTAAGCGTTCTGGGAACCCATCGGCAGCAGTGTACCAGCTAGTGTTGTTGTAAGAGGTTGCATTTGGCTTCAGTGAATTTTTTTTAGAGATTCTTTCAATGTGTGATTTAAGAGCGCACCGACCACACTGTGCTGAGTGTTCCGCAGTTTTTGACCATAAACACCAAGAGCTCTGTGCCCCACCCTTCCTATTCGCCCGATCTCACCCTGAGTGACTTTTTTTGTTCGTTTCCCTGGATGAAAAAAGTCCTCAAAGGGAAACATTTTGCTGATGTGGAAGAGGTGAAACAAAAAATGACAGAAGCACTAAAAGGCATCAAATTGATGAGTTCAAAAATTGTTTTGTGCAGTGAAAAAAGTATCTCAATAGGTGTATTGCATCAGATGGTGAGTGCTTTGAAGGTGACTGAAGGCTGGGCAAAGTGGCTCATGCCTATAATCCCAGCACTTTGGGAGGCCGAGACGAGAAAATTACCTGAGCCCACGGGTTCAAGACCAGCCTGGGCAACTTGGCGAGACCTCATCTCTACAATAAATCAAAAAATTAGCCAGGCATGGTAGTGCACGTCTATAGTCCCAGCTACTTGGAAGGCTGAGGTGGAAAGAGTGCCTGAGCCCTGCAGGTAGAGGCTACAGTGGCCGTGAGCATGCCACTGCACTCCAGCCTGGGCAACAGACTGCGACTCCTACAATAAATAATAAATAAATAAACAGAAGGTGACTAAAGTTTAAACATGTAAGAATAAACACACAATTTTTAATGAACAAATTCCGGGTTTTTTGGGTCCCCCTTGTATTTCACCACAATTAAAAATTTTTAAAAGAAAAAAGATAGTCCAACTTTGATCCACAGGCAGCACTTGGCCACGTGCAGGACACCCCTCAGGTCTTCCAGCTTCAGTTTCCCTCCACTATCATCTTCACATGGCAGCCAGAGCAGTCTTCCGAAAACGTCAAGCACATCATGGCACCAATGACACCCAGAATAGAATCCACACCCCTCATTCCATCTTATGGTCTACAAGACCTGTCCCTGTCATCCTGCGATCTGTAGGGCCTTTGC